TCTCGATTGGCGTACGTCACTAGAAATTGTGAGCAACTTTAGATGCATTCAGTCTCAATTATTTATCGAATCCGAATTATTCTCGTTTCGACTCTGTCAAAATAATTGTTGGAACTCAGTTGTACTTCAGTTATCATTGATATTCCGATTGATTCACGATAACTTAGGATGTTGTTGAGTTGTCTGATTTGGGTGGATCGACGATGAAAATTCTTTTGTCTATCTATCCAGCTTAGCCATACATATAGGATGCGTTTGTATTTCCAGTGGTCTGCATCGACAGGGTCAAGGTTTTTTTGAATGCATCCTTTCGATAATTCTTTTTATTAAATCATTCCCTCTTCAAAGAAACAAGAAAATTTTACATTCGAGTAAAGAATAAGCGGTCACTGCAGACATTGTCTCATATCTTAGAAAGCATTTTCAAGAAAGGTTGTGGCCAGTTCATGGACAAACAGGTGATTCTCATTTGAATCTTGCGATAATCAAGAGTCTTTGTATTTCGAACACGAACTCGTAACAGCCAGAAATGTGCAATTCGTAATCTGGTAGTCACTCTTGGGTCAGTCTTCAACTCAAGAAGAACTACGTCGGCACAAACAGGAATATTTTATTTCGAAGTCGAATTTCACACGGAATAATGTACAACGGAACCGTTGTTGTCTACAATCATCATAATGCCGCATGTTTATTTTCGATAGTGTGATGTGAGTGTGGGAGAATAACACCGTCCACGTGTGTGATGTGTGAAAACCTCCTTGTTTAACGCTGTCATAATATACAAAACATCTGGCTGGTTGCCACCAATGTTTTATTTCGGCCAATGTACGGGAACCTCAATTCAGTCACAAAGCACATCCATGTCCTATCTTTTGCGAGATAAATATGTGGTAACTCTGTCCAAGTAACATGTTGCGTGAATAGTTTGTAGTGACTGTGATGTTTAGAAGTATATGAATCAAGAATTGAAGAACTGCAACAACGAATGTATTGTATTTAGAATTCGAAATCAAGCATTCCACAACAACAAGAAGTTACTAGTTCATTCAAACACCACATCCGCCACCGCTTAAATTGGAATGTATATGTCTGTAATCAGTTGTACGTCTTCTTCTCGAATTCATCCTGTGTCTGTCCGACAGTGTATTGGATAAAGACTCTGTATTATCTAGAATGCTCTCATTAGTATTAGAATTAACAACCGAAATTGGAACAGACTCACCTGGCTCTTGGAATTGTATTTGATCAACATGTCGATTGTGTGTACTTAAGTCATTGATATCTAGAAGTCGCACCATAGATTTCCCGACATTCTTCAGAACAATCCCCGTGGATGGTCGAAGATCATTGCCACGATAATATGTAACTTCTGCAGACTCCAAACATCTCATATTCGACCGAAGAATTCTTCCTTTTAATAGTTTTGATGGAGTCTCTTTCGTCACTGAATGTCTGGCATTTCTATATTGCAGTAGAAAGGTATCTACTCCCCTCTCCAGCTCATTAAATGTTGAGGCGGCAATAGAATCACTCAACCTCGAATGCTGATTTTTCAGCTTATGACACTTTTCGCAATTCTTTGCTGTACGACAAATATCTGCATTTAATGACTGTCGAGAAATGTAGTCAACATGTTGAATTTGCTTGGCACTCCCGTGCTGAACCATTTTCATACTTCCATTGCCCTTAGCACACGTGGCTATCAAATCTTTAAGTAAAGCATCAGAATTTTCTTTAGAAACTGGGAAAGACAAATCCACTTTAAGTCTTCTCAAATTCTTTAAACCCAGTATTGACAGTCCTGTTTCACTAACTAAAAATTCACAAGGTATATATGAGGAATTATCATCTCTTATTAGCAATTCACAACATCCTCGTATAGGCAGTTTGTGTCCAGTAATCCCCAATATTGATACATCAGTGGGTCGTATCACAACGTTCGGATCTAACGATTTCAGGTTCTTGAATGAAATAATGGACTCTATACTTCCTGTGTCCACAATAAAGTCATGAAATGAACCAAGTGATGTATATAGTCGCTTTTGAATATAAGCATTACCTTTCGAAATGGTAGTTAAAGATAAATGATCATTAGGATTAGCTGAATTATTGGAATCTAAATTACAAGCTTTAGCACTACTTGAGGCAAAATGAACAGTAGCTTTGCATACTGCTTGAATGTGCCCTATCTTACCACATCTAAAACATTTAGCATTACGAAATGTACAATAATAACGAGAATGAAGTTTTCCACATGATAAACATTTGCCAAACTTGGTCTCACCTTTTTGATTTCCTTTGTAATTCTTTTTTGAGACACCGTTCATTTTTACACGAGAATAGGAACCTCTGTTAAACGAACACAATTTTGATTGACCCTGAGATTGCTTTTCATCATGACAACTAATCAAAGTATTGGAAATCTTCATCGACTGAATATCAAGTTCATTCAACGCCTCGTAGTTAATGCACGCAGTTCTAACATCTTGAAAGGAACAGTCTGACATTCTTAACAGCTCTCTTTCCAAACTAGGTATGTTAATTCCTGCAATTAATCGGTCTCTCAGCTGCACATGAAGTTGATCGCCAAAATTACATTTGACAGCCTGTTTCTGCAATTCAAGAATAAATTCCTTAACATTTTGGTCATCTTGACGAATCATCTTATGAAATTTCGCTCTTTCACGGCATTCAAAGCCAGGGCACTTTACATGATTCAATAATAACTCCTTTAGCATTGCATAGGGAAGTGAAATAGGTTTTTCTGGATATGCCAAGGTTTTTAATAAGCTGTACGCTTCTTTTCCGATGAATGTTAGGAAATGAGCAACAATTTTATCTTCTTTGACATCTTTCCTGGTCATACTCCAGATTTCAAACATTTCCAAATAATCTTCAAAAGCTTCAGAAGTAGAATGAATATCTAGCTGTTCCATTACAAGATCCTGCTCGCGACGCCAGTGTAGTATTTAGAAGTATATGAATCAAGAATTGAAGAACTGCAACAACGAATGTATTGTATTTAGAATTCGAAATCAAGCATTCCACAACAACAAGAAGTTACTAGTTCATTCAAACACCACAGTGACTCAAGTCTAGATTATGTATGAAAACCACCAGAAACCAATTTCGTTCCTATCACTGATGATTACTTCGTCGTAAACCAAACGAAGGTGAATATTTGCTGGCGATTTCGTGGTACCGAAAGAATACCGTAATCGTGACAGTAAAAATTGGCGAAGATACAATGAGTAGTATAAACAAGATGAAAACCAAACAAGCAGAAAGTGTGTGCAGAAGTACGAACAAACAAGAAGTTCAGTAACAACCACTGGTACAATTCTTTGTGATAATGAATTTTTCAATTCAACCAATCGCGTTCTGTTCGTGGAGTCACTGGATGATTTACACAAAATAAACCGTCACTGGCTTGTTGACAACAGAAGTGTTGCGCTTTCAAAACTCCAATGAGAGAGAACAATGTATTCCTCATGTTTCGGGATCACAATGTTGCTATATAATAACACTGAACAACATCCATTGACGACCTTGGCATGTTACTGCCCATTATGTAGGTGGAGCACAACTTTATCATTGTAGTTTATCCCCAATTTGAGTTCATACATATATGCAGGTGAATTTGTGTGGTGAGAATTACTAACACAGTTTGTGTATGTTGACTAAACTGTAGATGGTATTCTAGGTATATTGCCTCAGCTGATAGACTAGCAAGATTTTCCTCAGTCAATAACACCAATCGTACGTTGAGCATCTCAACTATGCGTTTTCTTTTGTCCTGTGATAGTTTGTCACCAACTGATTGTCGATTTATAACACTGACTCTAGTAGTTGAACAATGCTCACAAACTGTCAATATCTGTCCGTGAAATAAATCTACTCACACCATGCAGATGTATCACTCTCAATAAAACACACAAACAAAGGCGATTCTCGTGGGATCTACTCACGCATACTAGATAAAAACTTGCTGCTTTGCTTCCAAATTTCGTCAGATTGTAAATGTGCATTAAACAAAACAATGTCACAGCCAGTACGTATGTGAGATTTATTGTATCCAAGTTTTCTAAGAACTCTTAGCCGAAACGGATTGTGACTAGCAGTGGAATCAAGACAATATCGAGGTGATCCGCACACAATACACATTTTCCAAAGAGACTGATCAATTGTAGTCTCAAACATCAATGGGAAGATTCAAGCAACAAATATAAAACTAGTTAATTCTAATATTTCTTCGATAAGGAGTCGGTTATGCTGACAGACTATCTGGATTGCACATACTTTGTTGCGATTCCGAATCTGCAAAACAGTAACAATCCAGCCGATTGTTACAGTCTGCTCTGTAACAAGGTCAGAATTATCATGTGAGACATGAATGAGTGAGTAGGGCACTTGTCTTGATTAACTGAATGTAGAAAAATGGATTTGTTAGTGAATTTATGGTATGAAACACTACTTAGGCCGAACGAGTCCTTATTGTATATTCCCTTCTATCTGCATGAAACAGAGTTGTATGCTGTTGAGTAGTCTCGAACTGCGACAGAATATCTGTCCGATGCTTCAACTAGTTCTCAAGCTAAAAATTAAACAAAATGTAATAGTTTTTGGTGTGAGCGTATTATCATCGTAATAGATTGAGTGTAGTGAGAGAAACAGCTAATCAGTTCTACTTTTAGGAAGCCCTCCTCACCAAAATACATTTAGCACTAGTGATAGAAAAATCGGCAAAATCATGCACAGTCACTGCATTACATCACTGACACAAGCTTTCAAAGTATGACAATACAATCAATGATTTCATTCAAGGGACAAACTGATCAAACAACAGTACTTGTCACAACGGAATAATGCACATTTCACATTTCAGAAAAGCATTATAAAACCCAGTTATTACCACTTTTCCCCATAGTTCACGATCATATGTAGTGTAAATTGTGACATATGTTGTTAGTAATTCGATCGATTGTAACCTTGTAAAAAGCATGGAAAAAGAGTATAAATTCTCTCCAAGACTCTCAATAAATGTTCACACACAATACAAGCTTTCTGACGATCTAGACAATGTCACTGATACAGGTTAGTAAGATTGCTCCATTTTAACTAGCCAATACTCTCTTCGACCCTTTCAATAGATTTTATTCATAACGATCTCCTCGGCATATCTTTGCGTTCAAACTGGAGGTAAGTAAGGAGAAAACCTGATTAGGTAACTTGTTTGTTTTGTCCTCGCCTCAACACACTGCTCAAACAGTACTAACTATTGCATTAACCATGATTTTGCATTTTCAGATGCTGTCGACTCAGGTGTAGAGATTGGCGATGTAGGTGTCGGAACAGGTTTGGGCATTGGTGGTGTGTTAGGCGCAAAAGGAGGTTTGGGCATTGGCAGTGGAATAGGCGCGAAAGCAGGTTTGGGCATTGGCAGTGGAATAGGCGCGAAAGCAGGACTAGCTGTTGATGGTGCTGCGGCTGCTAGAAATGTCATAAATTTCGCCCGTGGAGATTATCGAGGCATAGCCGACCTTTTAAAAGTGAAACGAACAGCTGACGGTGGAATCGGTGCTTCAATAGGTGGTGGTGTAATCAGAGGAGAAATAAGCGGTGGTGGCGAAAGATCAAGAACTGTGAAAAAGAAAGTAATCGTAGAGCCAGGGGAAGGAGATTCGGAGAAGACAGTGCAAGAGAAGAAAACTGTGAAGACAAGAAAGATTGAAGAGACTCCATCCGAAGATGAATCTCCCACAGAAACACGCAAGAGAACAATTACGAGAACCATTACTGACGACGATGGTCACAGTGAGAAGTAGAGGTGGTGAAACAAAGAAAATTGTGGAAAATTCTGAAAAATCTAGCCTTAATTTCGAAGAGAAGCCCTGGTGATTGCATTTTCTTATGTTTCTTGTTTTACCAAAGTCAATGTAAACAATCATGTTGTTTGTAAAAAAATTCAGATTGTCCATTTGAAACCTTAGGATTTTGATGTCGTTCAGTAGAATAAACGTTTGATCGTTTCGACCTTATTCGTTATTGTTTTTCCACCCATAGATTTGAATCGTAGTGGTGGGCGACTCGCCTACTATGAATATCGAACATTTACGCCTAATATTAGTGGATGCACGTTGATTAGCTGTATGACGTGTATGTTTGTGGTAATCGTCATTGATTATTACTATGATCATTATCACCAGTAATATTTTCATTACTATTCAAGTCGTCGATATAATTATCATCGTTAGTATTGTTGGATATGATGTGATCCGGAGAATGCATATATCTTGATTTGTTAAGATTGACGTATCACTTCATACAGTTGGAATATTTTCCCACTTGACGAGAAATTTACAAATAATTCGTCCAGGTATTGTATTTTTAGGCATACAATACAGTACAACGCAGTAATATCTCAAGATACCAATTAACATTTAAACTTGTTCCAATGAATGTGTCTATTTTAAGACATTATTATTTCCCACAACTCCAGATTTCTTTCCAAACTATTTAATCCACTTAGCCACAGACCATTCGTTGCAAATATGACAGATTGACAAAATGAAACAATCACTAAGATGCATGTAGTCCTTGTAAATTCATATAATATCGTTCATTTGTAGGTATCGCCTAATCCATCTTTGATTTGGTATGCGTATTTGATAGAATACTCCTTAAATTACACCCTACGTGTGTCGTTGATTACTTACGTATTCATCATTACGTAAATACATATGACTGGTATCGGGAATGTTAAACTTACACGATATCTATTTAACTGTGGCTGCATTTTGTACAATTTCCAGCCACGTTTGTTTTGTCTCGTACCTCTGTATAGAAGTCAGAATTTCCTCACATTACCAGGAATATTAGTGCATCAACAGTCTTTGAAGTTGTCCAATTCAGTTGGACTCAGCGGCACTGGTTAATCATGTTCACATCACATCACTCGATACAATTAGCCTGTCGACACTCATTCTGTCATTTCGTTCACATATCACCAAGCGATTGTAGAATCTTTTTTCATTGTTTTGTTGTTTGGAAAATCCCTCCATATATATATATATATATATATATATATATATATATATATATATATATATATATTTGTGTTATGATATGACTGACTCTTTCTGTTGACATTTTGGTAGTCTATTTGGTTCCATTTTGAGATTTTATCATTGTATATTGTTATTATTTCTATATCTTGTACTTAAATTGAAGTTTTTATGTTTGCTTTCGAACTGTACACATGTTGTTTAATTTGATATTTAATATGGCTACGGCCATATTTGGATTTGATATCGTGGCAGTTAATATTAGTATCACTTATTCTTTTGGATTCGGATACTCATCAGGGTATTTTGGACTTGGAAGGTGTATTAATTGTCAGGTAACTGTTTGTATTTCCATTTTATTATAAAAATAGACCGCTTTCTCCTAGAATTGTTGTGTTTTGATATTGGATCGGGGGATAGCGCGTTCGACCTACACCTACTGGAATCAAAGTGAACTGCTACGGTAGAAAATTCATCTACAGCGATTGCCTTGGAATGAAATTTGCCTGTTACTTAAGTAAAGCACAACTTTCTCATTGCAATTTATTACTATTTTGAATTTATGTATTCCGACCATACTTCCTACTGCGTATTGAATCACAGATGCAATACCAATGTTTGAAGCAACAGGAGATGGTTTCAGAAGAATCTTGCTGGCAAATACAAACAAACTGCATTTTGGAAAACGATCTTCTGATCTTTTTGGATTTTATTGACGAAGATTTACAGGTGGAAACTTTATATTTCGTATTTGTTATTTATTTCCCGTTGAATTTCAATTAATTATGAGCTCTCGAAAGAAAACAAACGCGAAGACGGTGGAAGCTCATGAAGAATCCCGAAATGCGAGGCAAGTCGTTTACGACACTTCATATTTAATGGGTTTTATCACAAATAACAATGATGTTTTGTTTGATACTTATTATTGTAAGTCACCCTTAGAAGGCACTAAGGAACAAGACTTGGACGAGAACTCCAAGGTACCTGGGAAAGAATTGATGTTTGGGACACCGGTAGTAGGCTTGGAATTACCAAAGGTTGAACTCCTATTCTTCGACGGCAAACACCGAGATTACTTTAGGTTCGTTAGACAATTTGAAACCTTTATAGAACCCTGAGAAAGGGATGATAATTTGCGTTTATTATATTTAATTCATTACTGTAAAGGAAAAGCAAGAAATGCGATTGAATGTTGCCTTATAATGGAACCACAAGTGGGATATAAGAGAGCTAAAGCTATTTTAAAGCAGCTCTTTGGACAATCGCATGTGATAGCCCGTGAAACTTTGGAGGACTTGTTTAGAACTGGAAATGCGGACTATAATGATCCTGAACAGTTGTCGAATTCGGCAATTAAAATGCAGAACGTTTTTCTTACTTTAGAACAGTTAAATTGTACAACAGAACTTCATCCCCTGGTTTTGTTGCATGAGGACTCGACCATCAAAAGGTTGGATGATAAACGTGATTCCCAGCCTTGTTGTTTACTTACTAGGTCACTGAGCAGACAGGTATGCTTAGGATTGATCCCCGTACGTGTGAAATCGGAAAAAGCCGAGATAATAGGATATGCTCTTTTGGATAACGGCTCTGATTCTACATTGATAACGTCAACTTGCGCAAAAGCGCTTGGGTTGCCGGAAAACTGTGAGTTAGTTGTGGTACAGACTGTGAATGGTGACAAAACGGCAGGAAGTACGAATGCCACTTTCGAAGTGCATTCTTTAGATCAGTTGGAACATATCGTGATTGAAGGGGCGATGATCGTATCTAGTATACCGAGGCATAAGCCCACGATGTCAGCAATGAAAAATTTAAATAAGTGGCCGCACTTAAAGGATGTACCGGTAGAAAGTTTAGACTCTGAAGACGTTTTGATGCTCATCGGTTGTGACGTGCCAGAAGCACATTGGGTGTTAGAGCAACGGCTAGGTGGAAGGAAGGCGCCGTATGCGGTAAAAACACTACTTAGATGGACTGTATTTGGACCTACATCATACCTGGAATATAGAAAAAGAGTTGTTAACCATATTAGTAGCGTGCAAGTTTTGGAGGACCAGATACGGAAACTGTATGATGTGGAGTTTGCTGATGTCTATTCCAGTGATAAGTCAGTGTCTGTAGAAGACCAGGTAGCTCTAGAGATCGTGGAGAGAGGTACTCACTACGTTGATGGCCATTTTGTAGTTCCGATACCATGGAAACAGGACCCCTCTACGAAAGGGACTAATTACGAGGTAGCTAGTAGTAGATTACAGAGTTTGAAGCGAAGATTGATGAGAGACGATAGGTTACGTGACAGGTACGCTAAATGTATGGAAGATAATGTCTCTAAAGGCTATGAGCGAAGGGTACCTGAGTTGCATCTAAAGTCGGACTATCGTCTCCGGTGGTATTCACACCATCATCCCGCGTTGAACCACAAGAAACCAGACAAGTTGAGACTGGTCCTGGACTGTGCTGCTAAGTTTGCTGGAATCTCCTTAAACGATATGATCTATCAAGGGCCGGACAGCACCGCTGATCTGGTAAGCATACTATTGCGTTTTCGCAAGGAAGCAGAAGCAGTATCGGCAGATGCTGACGAAATGTTTATGCAAGTGAAGGTACCCGAAGGTGACCGGGGTGTAGATTTATTTCGACGGTGGCTGTCCTAATTGCTTCCAATAGAAACACTCCTGTACGTTACTCCTAGATCCAGGTCCCAGCCAAATCAAAAGGGCAAAATTTCTAGGAGAAAACGTCTGGTATTTTTGTTTCTTCCAGGACTAAATTACTCCGCAGAGTATCCAATACAATAACTAGTAAGTGACACTAAGTCCAGCAGCCACCGCGTCCATCCAAAAATGTGGCGGTAGCCATATTATATCAAATTTAAACAATATATGTACAGTTCAGAAGCAAACACAAAAACTTCAATATAAGTACAAATATAGAAAGAATAACAATATACAATGATAAAATCTCAAATTGGAATCAAATAAAATACCAAAAATGTCAAGAGAAAAAGTCCATCAGGTCATAGCAAAAATATGTAAACATGGAGGGATTTTCCAAAAACACAAAACATTCAAAAAGAATTCTACACCGGCCCGCAAAATCCCTCCATGCAAAAAGGGCAAGCGTTAATGACACTTTATTTAGGGTTCCCATGTTATCCCCTAATCCACACCGGAATAACGTGTAGGACTTACAGCAGTACGCCTACCCGCCATCCAACATGGATATGACCTATCGTGTTAACTAGGTACCTATACTTTCCCATCAGGCCCTTGATTCCCCTATCTATCGTGGAATGACCTAACGGTAGTATAAACCTTACCCAATTAACCCATACGAACATGAACAACACGTCGCAAAACTGGTCATATCCTATCCAAGGACTACATTCTCTATCGTGGGGACGAGTCGCCAATCCACCACCACTTGCTCCGATCAGCAGATACCATGAAGTCCGTGATGCTAACTTATCAACAGAAGTTTTTGACCCATAAATAATATGCAAGGGTGAGATTTCCAATTTTGACATTTCATCGTCTCCAGAAGACCTTAAGTAGCATGACGTAGGATCAATATTTATCCTTCCATCTCCTGATGCAGAGGAGGTTTGAACAGTATTCATCATCGTCGGTAACTCATTTGTCACATCAGTGACATCCAGTTTATTATCAACGTCTAAATGATTCCGTTCCGCATTAGCATCCGTTTCCGCGGCACAAGACATATGCTCAACAATAGCATCGTCATCACACAGCACTGTA